TTTTGTTTATCTTCGCTTGTTGAAATTTGTAGCAATTTACAAGTCGAAGTTAAGCCGAGATTATTCCTTAATTCACTTGTTGAAATTTGTAGCAATTTACAAGTTTGGTATAGCCGAGATAAACACTGAAAGACGTTTCCAAGATATGATCAACCGAGATGACCAACTAGCTTGTTAAGAGCTGTGAAGGTTGGCAAGTACAAAAATGAAGACCTTAAAGAACTAGGGACTGAAAGCAAGAACGTCGGACTAATCTGCTTCGATGGACGACAATAGTTCAACCTCGGCAGTCAGTTGGAGGAGCTTCTCTACCGCTACCTCAGCATCAATTTCAAGAAGGAAGCAAACTACTCGGCATCAGCGGTAGGTTGTGTCTCACCCCCAGAAGACAGTTGGAAAGAACTTCTCAGCAGCCTTCTCAGCCTCGAGCTCAGCATCGATCTCCCGAAGAGTTTGATCAAAGCTCCTTTCGGCGATTGGCACATCGGAGTTTTAAGGCAAGGATTGAAAGCAAAACTCTGGGAAAAGACACAGAAAACAGAAACAAGAATGTAATTCGTAATCAAGAATGGTGATGAAGCTATCAGGAAATCAAGACAAAAAGATTGCACAGGTATGTCAAGCCAAGAACAGTGGCAGAAATCAACAGATGTGTGAACATGTGTATTCAAGAAGATGATTTGGAAACAACGGGTAAAACAACAATTGTGATTAACAATGAAACAAAGCTTCTTGGAAAGCAACAAGAAATAAAACCAGGAGGAACAGTGGCTTACCAGAAAGAGGGAAGCTGGAATAAGAATTGTCGAAGTCTGACGACAATGACAGAATGACGTAAGCTTCACCGGAGAAGAGGAATGAAGACAGTTGCAGAAGCTTGAAAGCTTGGAATAATGACGGATTTAAGCAAAAGAGCTAGAAAGAGAAAAAGCCAGAGGATTGAATAAAAAAAGAGAAAAATAGTCAAGAAGACGACAAAGTTCAAGAATAAAGCCAAGTGCACAGGCACTAAGTAAGTATGTGAATAACAAGAAAGTAATGACCCAGACATGATGCTAGCAACAGAAAGCGGATATGACAAGAACAGTGTCAGGCATTCAAACAATTCAAAACTTGAAAACAGACGAAAATAGAAGAACACAGAGGGCAAGTAAACGGATTCAGAAGAGTTACGAAAGATTGAGCTTAATAAAAGAGTTTATAAACCTACCAAGAGAAATGAATGTCGATATAAAGATCGCCGGAGTCAAATAGATGACTAGAAGTCGGGTACCCACTAAAGAATGTGAGTGGAGCAGTTGCAAAGCTCTTGGAGTTTACGAATTAATGGATCAAGAACCTCGGCTAGGAGGTATGATCTCGAGCAACTTGGAAAGCCTGAAGCTTGATACTTGACAGAAGTGGACAGTAAAGTCCAGGGAACTTTGAGGCCGACGAGTTTGATCTTAGACAGAGGGGCACAGATGAACGCGAAGCTTCTCTCTTTTCTTTAGTTGATTCATAATACTTTATGAATATATTATTATGGGGATATATTTTTTGAGTACCAACACGTGACCAAGGTGACACCGACGTGTCAGCCCAGGTGCCACGTATCCTGGTTGTTATGCCGAGGTCATCTCGGATAGGCCGAGGTTACCTCCGAAGATATCAGAATCCGAGATAAGCGGATGAGGGGCAAGAGTCCTATAATGGGAGGAGACTTCAGTTTGGGTAAAGATGAGACTCTTAGAGAGTTTATCCTAATCTTACTAGGAGTCCAATATTAGCAGTAATCCTAAGTCCATAGAAGTTAGGCTTCTATTGGGACTAGGTTTATGTTGGCTATAAAAGAAAGGCACCCCCATGGGTCTAAGGTATGCTTTTGATACTCAAGCTTATGAGTTTAGCACTTGATTTATCTTTGAGAGATGTACTGACTTGATCGTCGGAGTGCCCCCTGGGTGGACGAACCACCGCCGGAATCTTCTCTTTCTGTTGCAGGTCAGCTAGGTGCCATCTATTCTGCCGGTGCTTTCCAGCTGGTTACTAAGCGGGCAGTGTGGTCAGAAAATCACCTACACAAGAACATTTCAAACCACCCTAAATTATGTGAATGGAATATATTATATATATATATATATATTTTAAACCATTATTGATAAATTTATTAAACTTATATATATATATATATATATATATTTTAAACCATTATTAATAAATTTATTAGACCATTCATATCAAGCTCTTTATAATGGTTTTCAAGTTATTGTAGAGAGTAAAAGCTGTAAATACGTGCTCAATCAGACTCTCTACAGTAACTATTTATTTTGACTTTGCTACAGTGTCTTACCTGATTGAGCGAGACATTGTTCATAGGTTGATCTATTTTTTATTATATTTTCTAGAGTAAAGTTGGGCTAAAAAGCCATTGCCCGGTGTCCACCCAGATGTCCTTCCGGATGTCCAGTGAGTGTCTTGTAACCAAAGAAGAAAAATGTTCAAATTTGGCCTGATTGGTCGATCGCCCCTCAGTGGGTTCGATCCTCCTGTGTTTCTGCTGCTCTACTGGTACTTTGGTGTTGATCTGTTGTTGTCTTGGACCTTATTTTATACCTGTTTTAACATCATTTCGTACTCCAAAAAATAAAAAATAAAATTTTAATGAAATAGAATTTTAGAATAAAAAGTTTGATAGAATGTATACATAAAAAGAGACTGGCTAAAACAAAAAAATAAATTTTAAATTATAATTTAGGTCAAAATTTGTTGAGGTTGTTGCCAATATTGTTACAAGCAAGTCCGTATTGCAAATAAGAGAAAAGAAATAAAAAAATGTCAAGCTTAAGCCAGTTTTGTTGTCGAAAAATGCTTGGGAGCACTAATTAGTGCTCCCACTAATTAGGTGGCAGTGGGTCTCGCCATGAATGATGTGATGTTTTGGTCTTGGAGTGCCACGTCATCTTGTATTTTTCCGTTGATCCAGTACTACGCAGATCCATGATTACCAATGCTAACTGCCACGTGTCTGATTTCGATTGAAGACTTGAATTAACTCCTCATATTGCCCTCATCTCGCCACGTATTAAGTTGTGATTGGCCTATACAAAATATGTAGCCAACAGTGATCTCAAATTTATTTTATTTTATTTTATTTTATTTTTTTGAAAAAAGTGTAAACTTAAATTATGTGTACTAGCATTATTTCTTTTTATTTTGTTTTATTTATAATAGTGTGTCTGGACCAAATCATAGCTTTGTTTAAGATGTGGGGGTGATTTTGTGATTTTTTAAACTTGATTTGAGATAAATTATATAAATATATTTTTTTTATCATTTTATTTTTTTTGGTCACATCATCTCTTTATTTTTTTGTACATCTTTTAGTAAAAGATTTAAAATTACACTTATTTAGATCATCGTTTGAGATAGACTTTTTGATTTTTTTGACTTTTGTAAGAGAAAAAATAAAATAATTATGATTTGGATGTAATATTTTATTTTATTAGACTAAAAAATACATAATATTTTATTTTTTTTGTGTGACTATTTTAACTAAAAAGTCCAAAATCTCATATACAAAACGAAGGCTACACATACCTTGATTAATTTCAAAAGAAAAATAATATACATATATAATTTTCATACAAAATTTAAGACAAGAATAATGTAGTAATGATATTTTTGTAATTATGAACCAAAGTGATAGATATTTTAACTATTGATGAATGACTATAAATGAGACACATCATTCTGTATGAATTTCATGTATGCAAATTATATTTATATAACATTACTCATTTCAAAATTATGAAATTAACAACTAAAAAAAACCTTCAATAACCCGTTGGGATAACGTTGAATTCAAAATTTTAAATTTCTTAAACTAAGACCACAAGCTGACTTAAAAAGGGCCTAATCACAGAAGGATGATTTCTGGAGTTAGATCTTAAAGTGTCGAGACCTTAATAATCACCCTTAGATGGTGTTACATAGCAGACCACTCAACTCTATAACAATAAGTCATGAACTCATATATAAATAATGATTTGAATCCACATTTCTAATGTTGAATACCATTCGTCTAAACTTAAAATTTCACCCTACAAATCGTTTGTGTTGTTGCTCTAATAAGTGACCCAAAAGGACACAAGCTAACTTAAAAATTAAAATATCTTCACATAGCTGAATAAATACTTTCTTAGTGACAATAATGACAGATGGCACCGTTTTAGACACAAAACTTTTTATAGTGGGTGTTTGGGAAGTAAATTTTTATGTAGGTTTTTTAGTTGTAGGATATTATTGGATAAATTTTTTTTGATGTTTGGAAAGATAGTTGAATTTTTTTGTGATTGGATGTGATATTTGTGAGAGAAAAAGTGAAATGATTATGAAATTGGATATAATATTTTATTTAAATGTATTTTTTTTTAATTTTACAATAAATTTATCTTTTAGTAAAAGAAATTAGAAAAAAAATCCTAAACCCAAGTTTCCAAACAACACCATTCTCACATAATCAAAGAATTGACTCGTTGATTGAGATGTTTTTTCAGATTGTTTTGGGAATTGAATTTTTAATTAATTTTTTGAACTTTTTCAAAAAATAAAAAAGAATTGATTTGAATTTTTTTAAAAATATATTTTTTTTTAACTAAAAAGGTGAATTTTCAAAATTGGTCTTATTTATGTCTTTAAAAATGTTTTCCTTTACCTATTTTAATTCCTTGAATTTGTTTTGTTTCAACAGTTTACATCCCATCTACTAATTGGGTAATTATAATTTCATTTTTATATTATATTTGGTTACTATGTAAGTTGTAATCATCACATTAGAAACAGACAAAAATAATGAAAATTTTGACATAAAAATTTAAAACCCCCGATATGTGTACTGTTCAAATTCACAATCTCAAAACAAATTGACCAAGTTTTTAATCATAAAATCAGAAATCCGTCGTGTGCGAAAGTTAGCTGAGTCAAAAACAAAGGCGTTTTAAATCTACAGTAATTATTTAGAACTCTAAATAATGAGTTTTAAATTCATCACTAGTGATATGAAAAATGAAAAAAAAAAAAAAAAAAAAGTCACAACACACACTGTGACAGTAAATAGAATACACTATCACATTATTAATGGTCTTAAGCATTATTGTTTTAATATGTTAGGAATCAAAATTGAGTACCACTACTTCCTCTTTCATTTTTCATTTTCTCTTACTTCATTCACCCTATAAATAAGAGGATCCTCATAGATCCAAACAACAACAACAACAACAAACCAACCAAAGAAAAAATAAAAAAATGGAGCAAAGAAACCATGGAGGCCATGTTGTAGTCCTTCCTTATCCAAGCCAAGGCCACATAAACCCTCTTCTCCAATTTGCCAAACGCCTAGCCTCCAAAGGTGTAAAGGCCACATTAGCCACAACCCATTACACAGTCAAATCCATCTGTGTCCCAAACATCGCTGTCGAGCCCATCTCTGATGGGTTCGACAATGGTGGTTTTACCCAAGCCCGTGCCGAAGATGTCTACCTCAAGTCCTTGAGAGAAAATGGCTCAAGAACTCTCTCACAACTCATTGAAAAGCACAAGAATACTAACTTCCCAATCAATTGTGTTGTCTACGACTCGTTTTTTCCTTGGGCTCTTGACGTGGCTAAGACCCATGGCATCTATGGTGCACCATTTTTCACTAACTCGGCCACGGTGTGCGCGATATTTTGTCACGTACACCATGGCTTGGTTAAGTTGCCGGTGAAGGTGGAGGAATTGCCGTTGGTGTTGCCGGGGATACCGCCACTGAACTTGGTGGACTTGCCTAGCTTTGTTCAGGCACCTGAGAGTTACCCTGCTTACTTGGCTATGAAATTGAGTCAGTACTCTAATTTGGATAAGGCTGATTGGGTTTTTGGGAACACCTTTGAAGAATTGGAAGGAGAGGTATGTACATATTACTAGTATATATATCAGCATATCATCATTGGCTATATGTAAACTCTTATTTTGATTAATGTTTGGCTTGTTGATTCCAATATCAAATATAAATACATTTTGAAACTCATTTATTATTATTTTTTGAACTTGGTTAAACACACTTTGAAACCGGTTTACTTTCTGAAATTGGTTCGAACCAGACTATATAAGCTTATATGGACTAATATAATAATAATAAAAAAAACTGTATAAAGCAATAAAGGATACGTTATACTTGTGTCCATATCATATGTCTCTTGTGTCAATTTGTATCTTTTTGAATATTAAAATGGCACCCCATTTTTTGATGTTAATTTAATTTACATGTTTTGTGCTTATTTGAAGGCTGTGAAAAATGTGTTGGAGCTCTGGCCAGGAAAAATGATCGGTCCAATGGTCCCATCAGCATACTTGGACGGCCGAATTGAGGAGGACAAAGGGTACGGAGCCAGTCTATGGAAGCCACTTAGCTCCGATTGCGCCAAATGGCTAGAAGCAAAGCCAAGCCAATCCGTCGTCTATGTGTCCTTTGGAAGCATGGTCTCATTAACAGAGGAACAAATGGAAGAAATGGCGTGGGGATTGAAGGGAAGCAATTTGGACTTCATTTGGGTGGTGAGAGAGTCTGAAATTACTAAACTACCCTCCGAGTTCACAAACTCAACAGCGCAAGAGAAAGGTCTTATAGTAACTTGGTGCAACCAGTTAGAAATGTTGGCTCACCAAGCCATTGGGTGCTTTGTCACGCATTGTGGTTGGAACTCAACACTTGAAGGGCTAAGCCTTGGTGTGCCAATGGTTGGGGTGCCAAAGTGGACTGACCAATTGACTGATGCTAAGTTTATTGAGGAGATTTGGGGTGTTGGGTTTAGGGCTAAGGAGGATGAGAAAGGGGTTGTTAGGAGAGAAGAGCTCATGGGTTGTTTGAAGGAAGTAATGGAAGGAGAGAGGAGTGTTGAGATTAGAAAAAACTGTTGCAAGTGGAAGGAGTTGGCAAAAGAGGCAATTAGTGAAGGAGGAAGTTCAGACAAGTCCATTGATGAATTTGTGGAGCAATTGAAGTCTGGTAATGAAAAAGGAGTGGTAAAATATTTGACCAATGGAAATGGTCATTATTGAGTGAGTGTTTGGAAAGTTGTTAATTTAGTAGGTTATTTTAATTTTTAGTTATTTTAGTGGGTTAAAATTTTTATGTTTAAGAAAATAGTTAGATATTTTTGTAATTGGATGTGATGTTTATGAGAAAAAAAAAATGATTATGAATTTGATGTGATATTTTATCTGATTGACTATTTTAATTTATTTTATCATTTTGTAAATTTTAACCCAAAAAATTAAGAAAAACCTTTGCCAAACACCTCCTAAGTTCAAGCTTACTAGTTGAGTGAGCCTCTGTTTGGCAAGATGGTTTTCAGGCTTTTTTGGCTATTTTAGTCACAAAAAACAAAATAGGCTATTTTAGCCATAACAAACAAAATATCACATCCAACCTATAATCATTGCATTCTTCTCTCACAAAAAAAGTCAAAAAAGCCAAAAAGCCAAAAAGCCCTTCCCAAACCAAGCTTTTTAGCCCAAGCTAAAATAGTCAAAAAAGCCAAAAAGCCAAAAAGCCAACCTACTTCCCAAACCAAGCCTGAGTCGTAGGTTCAAAATCTATTTGGGACAAACATAATTTCTTTTTCTTTTTTCTTTAGATGTTGGGTAGAGTAACTACTATGGTGTTGGTATTTTGTACTGATGTGTCATATATCGTAAACATCCGATTTGATTTTTAATTCAAAATTTTTAAATAATATAATTATATTTGATATAATATGATATCGTAATTGTACAGACATAAAAAATATCGTATTTGATGATAAATAAATTCAACAAAGAAGATGATCAACGTCATCACGTGATCGTCATCTGCAAGACAAAACACTCTCGGCCATAGCCGGAAGTTCAGACAAGTCCATTGATGAATTTGTGGAGCAATTGAAGTGTGGTTATGCAAAAGGACTGGTAAAATATTTGACCAATGGAAATGGTCATTATTAAGTTCAAGCTTACTAGTTCAGTGAGTCCTAGGTTCAAAATCTATGTGGGACAGTGAAACATAATTTCTTTTAGAGCAAACATACATCTTTTTAATTTTGGAGCTTTAATTAAGCTCTAATGATATAGTAGAGAATAAAAATAAATAAAATCAAAATCAAAATATCACATCACAATGGGATCCACTCCCATATGAACTCCTAATAATTTTATTTCTTTTATTTTTTTTTAGATGTTGGGTAGAGGAAGTTCTATGGTGTTGATATTTTGTATTGATGTGTCATCTATTCGTAATCATATGATTTGATTTTTAATTCAAATTTTTTAAACAATATAATTATATTTGATATGGTATGATAGCGTAATTCTAATTCAATTTTTTTTTTTAAAAAAATTAATTCTAAAAACGAAAACAATTTTAATTTTATGCACAAAGAGTGATCCCAAACTCCCCGCACCACTGATGCCCAACTTAGAACAACACTGTTACAATCACTAAAATTATTCATGTCTCACGTTTATCTGTTTTTGAGGAATCAATAATAAGTGATCGAAATACATTTCTTTTTCTATAAAGAATCAATCATCAATGATCGAAACTTTCGGTGCACATATCTTTTTTTTTTCAATAAAGAATAATAGTGTACAACTCTGATCCTGAAAAGGAGCTGACACTCCGATTCATACTTCATCTTCGAATTAGGAGAGATGAGATTTGCCGCTCATCACTCTTGACGTGGCCCAATCCCGGTTGCCCCGTAGAGAGCCTCAAGAGGATCCTAATTCTCATCTTCCACCGAATGTATCATTGCTTGCTTGACATTCAAAAATAAAAATGATTCCAGTTTGGTTGGAAGTGAACTTTAAGCTAGCGGGCATGGCTTTCCACTCCAATTCAAATTTTCCCGTGATTTTCCCTTCCACCAAACATAATCCGTACCAGGAATAGAATTGTATTGTACCTCTAGACCAATCACAAGTCACATGTGTCTAGGACTAACCAAAATGTCCAGTGAATCCTTTTTATTGTCTATTATTTGACAGTAAATCCTTTTTTAAATACGGTAGTGCTACGTAGCTCGAAAGGTGGAGCTCGAAATTGGCTCGAATCAGAAGCAGAGAAGGAGAAGAGGAGGAAGGAGGGAGGAGGAGGATGAGGGACTGGAGGGGGAGGAGGAGGAGGAGGAGGGACTGGAGGGGGCCCAACAAATGGGGCTGGAGGCGGGGGGCGGGGGGCGGGGGGGAGGCAGAGGCGACGAGCAGCGACGGCGGGCGACGAGGCGACGAGCAGCGACGATCCTCGGCGGCGGCGGTGGTGCTGGCTCTTCTCCTCTTTCTCTTCTCCTCTCTTCTTCCTCTCTTCTCTCCCTCTCGGTGGTGCTGGCTCTTCTCCTCTCTTCTTCCTCTCTTCTCTCCCTCTTTCTCCTCTGTCTCTTTCTCCTCTCTTCTTCCTCTCTTCTCTTCCTCTTTCGAGCCAATTCGAGCCAACCAATTCGAGCTATGGCTCATTTCCGTTTTAAATATCATTAGGAGTAAATAAAATTCTACATTCAATTTTATCTAGAGTCTAATTTTTCCAATTATAAAAACGATTTTTTAAGGGTCTCATTGGTTTATTTTGATTAGTTTATTTGTTTTAAAATGAGATGAAGAAGAAGAAGCGTAAAAATCACAACCACAATATCATTCACTCATTGATAAGTAAACTTAAAATAATAAATAATATAGTAATTATATCATTGAGATGTCATGGAACAACTTGGGTATTGGCCCTGTTTGGTACAGTTTTTTTTCAGCTTATTTCAGCTTCCAGCTTAATTTAAGCTATTTTGATGTGTTTGGTTTAGCTTAACAATGCAGCTTATAGCTTTTTGTAAGTCAGAAATTAGCTTATTCTTTGAGTGGGGTAGGAGAAGCTTAATTTATAAGTCAAAAATCAGCTTATGTTCATAGTTATAAGTTATAGGCTGTTAAGGCATAAATTATAAGTACTTTCCCACAACTTTACCAAACAGGACCATTGTTGGGAGCAGATGTTAATTTGTACTGGATATTGTCCACCCAATTATTATATATTTACCTGATATTTACTAAAGTAGGATATTTTTAGTTGGTATTGGATATTTTTTCAACATTATACCAAGAAGTAATTTTTTCTAAATAAAATAATAATCTATACTATATATTATATAAAATTTTGAGTGTAGGCTCAGCCATTAATTTTGACTATCTCAAAATATTTTAAAGTAATTGTATGTAATACTTCTTATTTCATATTCATATCAAAATGTATAACTTTTAATAATAATAAAGTTAAAATGCGCACATTTATCTTATGATTTGACAAGTGCTTCATTTTATTTTGGTATTCAATCTATCATAATTTTGGTTGGAGAACGAATCTAACATGGTGGGAACAATATTATACTCGGATTGGACATTTAAATAAGCCATATTAATATGAATACATTGGATGGACATTACAAGAACATGTTGAATTGGTATGCCAAATCAAGAGAGCCAAACATATTTTTTTCTCCAAAATGAGAAAGAAGTCAGTATTTACCCAAAAAAAAGAAAGAAATTTATAGTGCCCACAAATGTTAGATTCCCAGTTTAGCTTTCACACATTTGATGAGTATTGGTTAGTGGTGGCTCATGAGTGATGTGAAAGTGCAATTGATGAGTATATATGCCTTTTTCACTCACTAGCATTATTAAACTTTCTAGCCACAAATTTTAAGGTTCTACTTCTCTTTTCTTCTTCTAAATCTTTCTATTGTGACCACTTTTCCACAATGGCAAGCATCACAACATGGTTTCATGATTAAAAAAAAAAAGAAAAAAAAGAAAAAAGAAGAAGTTGTAAGGGTTCAATCTCATTAGATAATGCTTTATTCACATTTTATACTATATGTACTTTTAGTTGCGTAATTTTTTTTAGTTATGACTAATTTATTTTTTTTAATTGTAATATTATTTTGAGATTTTGATTATGATTTTTTTATGTTTGATTATGACTTTGTTTTATTTATTTTTAGTTATGATTCAAAAAATATGAAGTTATGACATTTTTTTTGTAGTTATAATGTACATATAGTACACACCCTTTAAGTGGTGTATACCATAATCTTTCCTTATAATGAAATAGAATGGTTGCTATTTAAATTTTTTTTACAACCTTTTAAAATTCAGTTTATCCCCTAAAAAAATTTATTTTGCTTAAAAAAAAAACTTTAGGTCATTTGAACATATTCATTTTCTACCAAAAAGCTAATTTTAGCCATTCTATAAAGTCATTAGAAGTGTAAAAAAAACCTTAACATCTACATTTGGTTTAATTTTAGAATTATGATTCCAAACAAAAAAATTTCAAAATTATTTTTAAAATTCATAATTAAACACACAACTCAAAACTACTCAAAACTTAATTTAAAAATTATTTTCAAAATTCATAACCCAACACACAACTCAAAACTCAATTCAAAACTCTTCTCAAAACTCAAAACCAAACTGTTTTCAAAACTCTATTTAAAAAATAAAAATTCAAAAAATTATTATTTTTTATAATTATTTTTAGAATCATGATTTGAATATGGAGTCGTATTTTGAGTTATGAGTTTAGAGTTGAGTTTTGAAAAGAGAAAATTTATTTAGTTATAAGTTTTGAAAAGAGTTTTGAATTATATTTTGAATTTTTTTGGATTTATTTTTTAAAAATATTTAAAAATTTTATTTATTTCATTTTTTTAGGATAAATAATTTATATTTTAAATATTTATTTATTTTAATGTGTACTGTATTTCATACATTTGTATGTTGTATTTAAAAAAAAATGTTGTAAATATTTTTAAAATTTATAAAAATTTATTTTTTTAATTTTAAATATGTAATTTTTATTTTAAATACTTTATTTTATTTGATAAAAATATTTCTAAATATTTTATTTTTTAATATTTTAAATTTTTTCACTTTTTTTGAATATTTTATTTTTTAAAATTAAAAAAAGGAAAAATTAGTCTAGGGTCCCTCTCTCACTTTTCGTAATGGAAGAGATCCACAACATTATTTTTTGATGTCTAAGGTCCCTAAACATATATCAGAGAAATTTGTCTTCGAATAGGTCGATTTTTGACTCTTCAGTTGCTGCCTTGGGTTCAGTTGCCATTCTCAATCAATCTCTTACAAAACCTTGCCTGCAAGTGATAAAGTATAGATTTAGAACTCAAATTTGAAGACTTTTGAACCCTAAATTTTGCAGAATCAAGGATAAATGTAATATACATACATACATACATGCATACATACATATATATATGCTTGATTGATGATAGACACAAGAGAATCCACTTACACCTTCGCCGTCAACAACTCTCGCCATCCCAACGGCACCGTCAACCGCCACCTCACCACATTCCTCGACCTCAAATCTCTTCTCTCCGCCACCAAACCCATCAATGGCGTCACCACCTGCGACACCACAATCGACTCTTCTCTCAATCTCTGGTTCCGCCTCTACACCCCCACCGCCCTCACATCCACCGCACCACCATCGTCTTCGTACCATTCTTCGATTTCAATCAATATCAGTGCAAATGAGCTTTAATTTTTCTAGGTATCGTTAGAAAATATATAAATATGTTTTGTAATTGCAATTGTAATTTGTTTCTTGGATTTGCAGGTTGTACTTTGATTTGGGAAGTAAGAGTGATTGGATGGGATGTTGTGCTATGGAGCTGAATTTGTGCCTGAATTTGAACTGCATTTTCTCCAGAGAAATTCTCAACCCAGAGAAAATTTAGTTCAAATGAAAAAAAAATAATCGAAATAGACGTTCTGTGAGCTAAATTACCAGAGAAATTCTTAACCCAGAGAAAATTCTCAACCCAGAGAAAATTCAGTTCCATTGCCAAATAATCCTGAAAGCTTGCAGAGAAATTCCAATTCCTCAGTTCATCATTCTTCAGATTGGAGATGGGTTTACACTTGTTGGTCTACAAGAGTACTTCTACGATCAAGTTCCAGATTCAATGAATTTGTGTGTGTAGGTGTGGTATATATATGGTGTGTGTTTGGACTAGTGAACTGATTTTTTTTTTCATTTGAACTGAATTTTCTCTGGGTTGAAACCAGAGAAATTCTCTGGTTTTTGAACTGAATTTTCTCTAGGTTGGTCCAGAGAAATTCTTTGGTTTTCGAGCTAGATCTTGGAATGCTTAATTTGTATAAATCCCATTGACGTTATTGTTTTTTTTTTTTTTGGTAATCAGGAATGAACACGAAGTTCAGTTAAAGGCCTTGAAGGATCAGCATGAAGATGAGTGCAAGAAACTAAAAGAGGAGTTGGATGTCCAGAAATCCAAAGAAGACAGGCAAAGGGCGCTACTGCAATTGCAGTGGAAAGTAATGGGTGACAAACCACAAGAGGACCAAGAAGTAGATTAAAAAAAGAATTATTCTACTACATCAACGAAGATGAGAAATTCTGATGGTCCAGAGAAATTCTGAATCCATATGCAGATGATCTCTATGCATTTGATTAGAGAAAATCATTTCCTGGATTGAACCAATGGCACAAAATCATTGAAGCAAAGTCTTTTGTTCTTTTCCATGTCCTGATAACGGTGGTGCATCTAGACTAGTTCACTGACAAGCGACAACACATGTCATGAACTTTTTGTGCAAGAGCTTGAAGTCCAGAGAAATTCTTTCCAGAATTTCTCTGGACCAATTTTCTCTGGACTAATTTTCTCTGGATCAATTTTCTCTGGATTAATTTTCTCTTGACCAATTTTCTCTGAATCAACTTGAGGGACCTTAGACATTATGAAAATATTAGATGTCTTTTATGCTATAAAATCTTAATACGAGGGAACTTAAAAAAAAAAACCCTTAAAAAAATTGGATCGCTATATATATATATATAAATCCTAACAAATTATTTGGTCAATACTTAAAAAAATAACAAAATTTATTTTTTGAAAAAATAAAACAAAAAGAAAAATTTCTTCAAAAAAAATAAGCAATTTTTTTTTGAATTTTTTTTTTCAAAAAACATAAAATAAAAAATAATTTTAAAGGACAAAATTAAAAATATTTTTTTGAATTGTTTTTTTAATACAGTTTTGAAAATAGTTTGATTATGCGTTTTGAATTGTGTGTTTGGTTATGAGTTTTAAAAATAGTTTTTGAATTGAGTTTTAGGTTATGTGTTTGGTTACGATTTGAGTGTGGAGTTGTGTTTTGAATTTAAAATATTAAAAAAATTAAATTATTTACAAAATAAATAAAATATTTAAATAACAATTATATATTTAAAATAAAAAATATAAAATTTTCTTAAACATTTTAAATATTAAAAAAATAAATCTAAAAAATTTCTAAATACAACTCAAAATTCAAAAACTCAAAACTCAAAATACAATTCAAAACTCTTCTCAAAACTCTTAACCAAATCAAATCTCAACTCACAACTCCACATTTAAATTACAATTCTACACCCAAATTATAATTCTAAAACTAAACCAAACACGCTCAACTACATTTTAGTATTGATTAGCTTATCTTAAGTCAATAAACTACTTTTTTGTTTGGTTTGTGTTTTGAGATAAATTTTTAAAAAAAAATTTAAGAAGAAAATTTAGGGCTCTTTTTGGAAGTGTTCTAGAATTATATTTCTGGACCACGTTTTGCACTTCACGTTTGGATACAGAACTCAAATCATAATTCTAGCACATCAAAATACAACTTTGTTTATTGTTTGGCAACGATTTCCCCCCGTTTCTCTGCAGCACACAATTCTAAAAAGTATTCTCTGAACTTTGAATTATAAAGTGACTAACTAAGGCTAATAAATGCAATGTGATGAGCTAAACTGGTATGAAGTGAGATATGGACACTGCGAGGAAGGAAAAAAAAAAAATACAGAAACCGGTTGACCAACCGGTCAACCCATCGGCCAACTCACTGGTCGGCCCCCCTGCTGCTGTATTCGGCTGCTACCCTCTGTCGCCGCCTTGCTGGTTGTGTTGTTGCCTTGCTCAGTCAGACGTCCAGTTGATATAAGTGTTTTGAAGGCAGAAGTTTGAATGTTTAGTGGATAGAGACTGTGTTGGGAGGGGAACATCAATTAAGTTGATCTTGTATGTTGGCTGGTGCCTTGGTTCAAGAGCAGGAAGTGTATTTGGTGCAGCCTTGGTGGAGAAGGACGAAGTGTATATAGAGGAGGACGAAGTGTAATTGGAAAATAAATTAATTTAAAACATAAATTGAAATGAAAAAAAATTAACAAGAAAAAAAGAATTGGGTCATAATTATTTGAATCAAAAATTTATGTGGAGCCAAATTATACGAACAAAATTTTCCTTCAAATTTTTTTTATTAAAATCAATTAAGAATTGGGAGCAAAATTATTAATTAATTTATTGATTTGTATTGAAAAAAGAATTTGGTCATGAATGTTGACTAATAAGCTCAATACAGTTACGAATTATGTGTTTGATTATGGGTTATAACAATTTGAATTACAGTTTGAAAATTATTTTCAAAATTCATAGCCAAACACATTTTCTTCTTTTACGTGTCACATCAAACTTTCAAATCTTAATTCCAACTTCAATTCAAATCTCATTTCAACACTCTATTCAAAAACTATAATCAAACAAATTTTCTACACTCAAATCATAATTCTAAAACTCACAAACTCAAAATACAACTCAATTCTCAAATCACATTTACAAAACTCTACCAAACGCAACCTAAACTTTTTTTTGATTTGTTTAGTTGTATATTTTGAAAATAGTTTTAGCATTTGAAAGTTTGGGATGATTAGATATTTTGTTATAGCTGAGTAGATATGTGTGAAAGAAAAGTGATTGAGAAGAAAAGAAGAGAGAGAAAAAGTAATTGATTGATGTGTAGGAGAGAGAAATTGATTTTGAAATTTTTTTCAAAAAATTTCCAACCAAACAAAATTTTGAAATTTTTTTTCAAAAATAATGTTTTGAGAATTAAACCAAACAAGGCTTAGTCTTTTGATAGAATGACCATTATCATACAATAGCGAACAATAATTCTATTTAATGCCTTTTTTTTTTTTTTGTTTATAACTTTATTAGTGAATCAATTAAACATGATAATAGACATTCACTAGCATCTCCATTATCTAATTCTACTTTCAAAAATTTTTGGTGGAAAGGAACTGCTTAGAAACATGTTTGAATTTCAAATCCTTTTTTTTTTTTTTGTGGTGTCTCTCAACTATGTTACCCTCTAAGCATCCTGTAGTCATCAATCTCTTGAAGCCTAAGAAAATACACAGCTGCAATGGCAGAACTCAAAAATGTCTCCACTGCATCACAACCAATATTTTCATCAATGCACATGAAAATACGTTATGAGTTCGAATGGAAATCCATAAATTTCTCAACACAATTCAATCACTACAAGAGGCACCAACACACTGATGTATTTTCCTGGCTAATATCTAATTTTTTTTTTGTTTCCTGCTCAACCGTGTGCAGAACATCTTTTCCCTCGCTAAAACCAATTCATTCTCCTCGAGAATAATGTGCATTTACAACTTTTTACATTTTGATCTCTATATGAGACACATAAACCAAGATATTTGTAGTGAAAACTCACCCAAAATGTCGCTTGATTGAATATCAAGTGGCAATCACAGATCTGGTCAGCTATGATCCAGCATTTCCTCCCTATCTATAAATCGCTCAAGCAACTCTTTCTCTTGCAGAACCAAACAATCATCTTCCTTTCCAAACCAGTCATACCGCCGCTTGGCCACATAATCATAGACAGCATCCCTTAAGGGCATCGGGAGTATGAGTAGAGTGCTTAATGCAGAGTAAGGTAAGGGCAAGTAAGATAATACCCTCAGTGCAGCTGCAAAATTAAATAACTCAGATGAGACTCGAAATTTACACCTAAAAACAAGAGCAGAAAAAATAGACTAAAAAAGAAACTGTGTGCTTACATGGAAAATAAAGCTAGACATTTGTACATCATCATTAAGAAGAAAATTCTATCAGAAACTCAAAAATCATCTTATGAATGTTTAGGCATAAGAAAGGATTAGATCACCACAATAACAGCCTACAAAGGATTAGATCACCACACTGCCAAGTCTTCCATATGATGCAAAAAGACATTCATTTCAAATGTTCATGGCATGTGGTCCCAACATTCCCACTTGTCCTGTTAATTAGTAGACACCTCACGGCATAGGAATACAACATTTCACAGCCAGGCCAACACAACATTTTTTAAAAAATTAGGACACAGGCGGAGACCTAGCTCCCCAAATAGTTGAATCAAGCTTTGTTGATCAAGTTTCTACAAAACCATATCAAGAGAATAACAAAATTAACACTAAACATAGTACAATGAGTATCCCTAGAAAATTATCATATATGAATCCCTCAATTAGTTCAAAAAATGATCGAACAAGCCTTTCTGATGTTAATGCAGATAATCCATTGCCTTTAGAACCCAAAAAAAAAAAAAAAACTTGAGAATGAAAACCATAGCCTATAAAGGCCAAATTTTATATAGAAGTCGATGTAATTTAATTTTTTTTGCAGAGTTCAATCTAATTGACTCCAACTTCCAAGTGGTGCCCCTTTCTCTCCCTCAACAAATCTGAGTTATTTACTCTGAAAGGAAATCTCTGTAACAACCACTCATTAGTGATTCATATTTGAAGGATCATAGTGAGTTCAAATACATCACAACAGTTTAATGGCCCTATCAAAGTCAAATAAATTTACAATAAAAGTGTCCATAAAATAAACTTCCTTCAATAGCATAACTGAAAACTAGATCACTTCTTTCCAATAAGAATCCAAAAAAGCATCTTCAAAATTGTCCCATCTAAATCTCTGGCTTAATAATTATTTGCACTATGCAACATCAACCAGCTAGACAATCAAAAATCATGCTAGTGAACACCAACAGCTTTGCTCCATGAGATGTTGGATAAGGTAGTCCATTCATCAAACAAAGTCGGTTTATTAAGTGATTTGTTCATCATGTTCCAAGAAATTCAACTATAGTCAAGATGGTCCATCTTATTCATAAAATGCCATTGATCACAATTTTGGTTCATTAGTAGAATAAGGGCTTTGTTGGCTCACTGAATTCCAATATTAGATGCATTGCAGGAAAATAATCTAACATAACTGTATCACCTCTGTGATATGGTGTAATCAATTTTACTGAGCATGGGACAATTTTCCGAATGACCACCCCAGATGCTTTCAATAATTAACATGGTTCCTAATGAGAATTGACCGAGGCACCAATCGCATAAAGATAATTTCTCTGAACTTCTTCTTCTTCTTCTTCTAGTGGAATATTTGAACATGACAAATAGCTTCAACTTCCTGGAAAGATGCCTATGAGCTCGTTTGGGAAGTTGGGGTTTGGGATTTTTTTGGCTAAAATAGTCACAAAAACACAAAATAGACTTTTTAGCCTCATAAGACAAAACATCACATCAAACCTATAATCATTACATTCTTTCTCTTACAAAAAGTCAAAAAACCCAAAAAATCCTTTCCAAACGAGGCTTTTAGCCCCAGGCTAAAATAATCAAAAAGCCAACCCACTTCCCAAACGAACCCTACATTAAAAAACTAGTCACTGTGTTTGGTTTGAGTTTTCTGGATTAAGTTTTTTGAAAACTAAGTTTTTTGATTTTCGTATTTTTTTGTTTTTAGTGAATATTTTTAAAATTTTAAACATTTTTTTTACTTTTTTAGATGCACCTTACTTAGATGTGTCTAAAAAGTAAAAAAATTGTGAAAAAATATTTTAAAAAATTAAGAAATACATAAAAATACAAAAAATGTACTAAATTCTTGTATTCTTATGACAAGTTGCCCCCTACAGCCAGAGATTATCCCATTATTTACAGAATCAGCTTCAACCAAGGAGATCACAGTACAATGACACTCAAGGCAGACTTGAATAAAGATCCATTAATTGTTTTCCCTCGAAAATTACAATAAAAAGGCATCGAATTAGGCATTTATAATGACAATAATATGTATCTGGTCATCCCCTTTAGGTGTATTTATGTTAGGTGTGTCTAAAAAGTAAAAAATTAGCATAAAATATTTAAAAAATTCAGTAAAAACAAAAAAATACGGAAAATAAGAGTGTAGAATTTTTTGAAAACTGTTTTTAAAAAATGGGAACCAAGCAAATCCAGATCCAAACTTCAACTGTTCTGATTTCATGAGACACCAGTGTTGCCAATTAATGGGTTACAATATCAAATCACTCACTCTAGTTGTAGTTGAATACAGCAAGAGCAAAACCATCAACATTACTGAAGGTCATAACCAAAAGGGCAATATGTTGTCCCATTGGCCCGTTTGTTTTCAGAGGTAGAATGAAGGGGATTTATAGTGTGGGGATTGTTAGTGAGGGGATTGATAGTGAGAGGATTAAAAGTAAATGTGTTTGTTTTCATGATAGTTATTAGTGTAGGAATTGTTAAATTATTTTTATATAAAATAATAAAACAAATACAAAAAATTAAACATTAATGTTAAAAAAAAATGCCCAACATGTAAAAAATAAAAAAAATTTTAGTCCCCTCACTATTTTTTTAATACCACCCCTACCTCCTCCATCCTAATCCCCCTTCCAACCTCCATCTTAATCCCCTCCTCCATCCTAATCCCTTTCCCAACTCTACAAACAAACACAACACTAAATGGACCCCACCTCCATCCTAATCCCATCCCACTCTCTACACCCCAAAACACTCAGGACAGCAGATCCCTTTTCAATTCTTATTTCTTCATTTATTTCTTCTTTGTTAATATAACAAGAGAGGATGTACATGGTAAAAAAAATCTATACATATATAAGAGTATATAATTATGTCTTTGCGCTCAGTAAAACACACACACAATATATAAATATATATATATATAGAGAGAGAGGGGCTTCTAACCAGTGGACCCTTGGTGATATAAACCGGGGCCTTCAATGAACAAGAATCGACGAAGAACATCCTCTCGGTCAACGCCACAAAGTCTCATGATATTTAGCAGCAGCATTAGATTGAAGACAACAGAACTTGATCTTCCTATCTTTGTCTGCTTGAATCACCCACTTCACTCCTGCAAAAGTATATTAGTAGGAAACGGAGCATATTTTATGTTGACAATGCATTGCATAGATGCATATAATAACTACAGGAAATTGCAAAAATTGCAAGAGAAAACAAGTATAAGGAACTGGGTATATGTTAAAACAATGAGGCTATGGTTAGTATTTCAGAAAGGTAGATCCTTGTAATATTGAACCCGATAACTTTTGCTTTTGCAGTTAAGCAGAACAGAATTGCAATCCAAACAACAGTTCTAGAGTTATATAATGCATCACAAGCTTTTTTAACACGATCATATGCAACTTCCTAAATAATATATCTTAGCAGTCTTTGCAATCCCATCAAACAATATGAACACATTAAATTTAACTAATTTTGTTTTCCCTCCAAGACAACTGAGCTGTAGGCTTTGTTTGATGTTTGAGAAAGGAATATCCTAAAAATTGTGATAGCCTTCGAAAGGGTTCAATTGCCCCCTTTTATTTTCATAGGTAACCAAAACAACTAGTATTGATGGATCTCACACTCCACAACAAGAGAAAATAGCTCTCTTTCCCCATTTCCACATTGGTTTTCCAAACAAAGAAGTTACTTAAATCTCTCCGTTTGGTTGAGTTTTCAGAATTCATTTTCTGAAAGTTTTTTAAAAACTAAAAAATTGAAAAAGCATAAAACACTCATTATTGTGACAGAAATTTCAATTTTTTAAAATTCCAAAATATCATTTTTGGGTATTTAATATTTTTTATCAAACTAGTTTTGTAATTTTTCAAAAAACAAGGTTCTCAAAACTCAACCAAACAGAGCAACTGGATTAAACATATAAACAATTTGCAAGCTCACACAAACCTCCCTCCATTTCCATAGCATGAAACCCTAACCCTAGCTTGAGCAAAAAAAAGGAACATTACCAGTGAAACAAATTGAGAAAATATCAGCGACTCGGGTATAACATTCACAAAATTCATACATATATGTGCAGATAGAGAACAATGTGGATGTTTTGATAGGAAATTTGGAATGAAATCAAAGTACCTTTGTGGCAGAGATGACAGACACCATCGTAAACGACGACGCGAGGTTGAAGGAGAGAGGGCACGGTGGAGACCTTGGCGGAGACAGGCAGGAGATCGGCGGCGGAACCAGATGGTACAAAAACCAGGTCGGACGGCGACGATGAGGATGTTGATGAAAACCAGGAAGAAATTGATGGCGATGAGGTTCGTATTGTGCCGCTTGTCAATGTTCGCAGCAGAACGGCACCTCTCATTGACATCACCATACTCTCTCTCTCTCTCTCTGCTTCTGGTTTCTTGTACTAACTATTTTTGGTTTTAATTCGTTGCTTGGCCTCCAAGTCGGTTTCGTTTTCACATAGAGGAAATCAAAGCAAGTAGTAATTTTTATTTTTTTTTCAGAAATGTTACTAGCAAAGTTAGATTATAAGCAGGGTTTCAACTGTTTTCATTCTAATATTTTAATTGGAGGGTCTAGTTAATTTTTAATTTAGGAGTTATTTGAGATATTGTAAATAAGTGTATTTTTTGATTTTTTATAAAATATGGATTGGATTTGAAGTAATGTGGTAGAGAGGTGACGTAAATGATGTGATTTAAATAAGATAGTGACTTTTTAATTTTTTTGATTTTTTTAAAAGATGTCAAATCTAGGCTTAATAATTTAAATCGTTCAATTTTATGATGGGTTTATAGGAGTTTAATCAGTGTGTTTGGTTTGAGTTTTCCGGATTAAATTTTTTAAAAATTAACTTTTTTGGTTTTCTTGTTTTTTTGTTTTTAGTGAATATTTTTTAAATTTTAAACATTTTTTTTTTACTTTTTTAGATGCACCTTACTTAGATGTATCTAAAAAGTAAAAAAATTATGAAAAAATATTTTAAAAAATTATTAAATACATAAAAATACAAAAAAATGTACTGAATTCTTGTATTTTTTTTTTTATATTTTTGATATTTAGTGAATTTTTAAAAGTTTTTTTTTACAATTTTTTTACTTTTTAGGTGTATTTATGTTAGGTGTGTCTAAAAAATAAAAAAATTGCTTAAAATATTAAAAAAATTCAGTAAAAATAAAAAAATACGAAAAATAAGAAAGTAAAATTTTCTAAAAAGTATTTTTTGAAAAGTGAAAACAAGCCAGGTGAATAGTATCAGATAAGAGAAAAATCACTACTATTCCATCAACTTAAATATTCTTCCTTTCATTACACCCTAAACTACAAGTTTACTTGACCAATTCTAAATCGGAAGTGGGGACGTTGCTGTGCAGCTTGCGTAGCAATGTCTGCTGTGCGGTGATTTGGGCTTATTTCGGGGTTCATTTTAATAATTCGAACCATTTACATTTTAGAATACATCAAGTAGAACATGCTTGCAAAAAATTAAGTTAATTAGATATCGTTTATTTATTCATCCACTCACATTTGTATTCATTTTAATCAAGCTAAAATACATTTGTATTTATTTTTGTAAATACAAATGTGAGTGGATGAATGTATAAACGATATTCGATTAACTTGATTTTTTGCAGGCATGTTCTACTTAATATATTCTAAAATGTGAACGATTCGAATTATCAAAATGGGCTCCGAAATGGCCTCAAATTGCCGCACAGCAGACGCTGCTACGCGGGCTGCACAGCAGCGTCCCGATATCCTTCTAAATCCATCCTCTATAACTTCATATTTGAAGGATTTGCTTTTCCAATTCATTCTCTAAATACATCTCTATTTGGAAGGAGTATGGATTGATCTTTTATATTTGGAGGGAGGATGAAAAATAGAGTATCTCCACTAAAATACTATTCATTCTATATTTTTTATTATATTTCAAATAATTTTTAATATGTAAATTTAATTTTTGTAAAATTGACATCATTAAAAAGGGTGAAATCATACCTTTAAAATGAGTATGATATTAAATATATTTTACAAAAATTTCAAAATTAAATATTTGTTAATGAGGTGAAATCATATCTTTTTGATGAAAATATTTTCGAGAGAAATCTTTAGAGAAGAAAATGATGATTTATGGTTGGAGTTTAAGTGAATAGTGAAATACTCTATATTCACTTTTTGAATAAAAAAAGTATTTTCATCCTCTAATTAAGAGTGTTGGGTTGGAGATGCTCTATGTTGAGAAAATGAAAGCAAGTAAAACACTCTAAAAAATTCATAGTAAATTTTTTTTTTTCAAAAACATTCGTTACTTTTTATTATATATATTTTAATCAAATTTTTTAGTATTTGAAACTAGAGGAAGAGATACTAGAAACAATAAAACTATGAATTAAGGCTTAGATTTCAATTTTTTTGAAACATGTTGTATCCCATTTAAAATCAAATTTTAAAATACAAAATTAAATCAAGACAAATCAAATTTTAGTCTTAAATTTCATCAAATGAGATCGTTATATGAATTAAGAAACTTTTTAAATAACTTAAGAGCTATGAATTAAGGCTTCTTTTGGATAGAGGATTAAAAGTCACATTTTAATTTTTAATTTATTTTGAGTTATATCATCTTTTTATTTTTTTTATATTTAAAAAAAATTTAACAAATTTTCCAAAATAAACTTAAAAAATAAGATACAACATGTTTCATTATTAAATACAAATGCAATACCGTGGCAGAAACCCGATCAGACGGGACTGTCTAATGTCATCACGGAAAAGACACCAAGCACTTTAGAAATTATTTGGTGTTCAAATGTCCAAATGATCACGTAACTTCTAGAATTTTTGAGGCGTTGCCAGTAAACTAATGTCTATTTTGGCAATCCATTCATTTTGCGTGGTTACCAGTTTTTCAAACACTTTTTAAAAAATTTTGGCCTTGTTTTGTTTGTATTTAAGAAACATGTTTTGAGATAAAAAATAAGAAAATTTGTTTAGTTTGGTTTTATTTCAAAAGATGTTTTGAAAAATTATTTTGAGAGAGAGTTTTGGAAAAAGTGATTGATTTGATGTGTATGAGAGAGAGATTTGTTTGGAAAATTTGTAAACCAAACAAGTTTTAGAAAAAAAATTTGGGAAAATTTGTTTGGTTTGATTATTTTTGAAAACTTATTTGTAGAGAATTTTTCTCAAAATTTTTTGAGAAACACAAACCAAACAAGGCCTTTATTTTTTTATTTTTCGTGTTTTTTTATATTTACTGAATTTTTTTAATATTTTACGTAATTTTTTTACTTTTTAAACACACCTAACATAAATACACTTAAAAAATAAAAAAATTATAAAAAAATCTTTTAAAAATTCACTAAATACCAAAAATACAAAAAAAATACAAGAATTCAATATATTTTTTGTATTTCTATGTATTTATTAATTTTTTAAAATATTTTTTCACAAATTTTTTACTTTTTAGATACCTCTAACTAAGGTGCATCTAAAAAAATAAAAAAATGTTTAAAATTTAAAAAATATTCACTAAAAACAAAAAAATACGAAAACCAAAAAATTTAATTTTCAAAAAACTTAATCTAGAAAACTCAAACCAAACACACTGATTATTATTTTAAAATTATTTATTAAAAGATAAATTATACTGCCAATTTCTGAAATTTCTATTAGTATAGATTTTTTTTTATATTTAAAATATTGCATTTTCTTTTTAAAATTTGTAATCTCATTACAAATTACTCCTACATTATTGATGTTATATTTTAAAATTTTCTAAATAACTATTTTTTCCTTTTCTTATTATTTCTTCTTTTTATTATCATGACTACATTCTTTAACTTTTTATCTGAACATATTCTTATTGAGTGATAATATAGAAACACAAATTTTATATAAAATTTTTAAATATAATAATATAACTTCATGTGATCTTTCACTTTAAAACAAAACACTCATAAACATGATTTATATTTACAACATCACTATCACAATATTTTTATGATATCTTTTGTATAAATTTTTATATATGAATATCATTTTTCATTTTTATTTCCACCATCATTTTTATTTCTTGTCTATTCATCCACATTTATTACAATATTACTAAATACCGTTATTCACATTTTTTACAGTATTACTGATTTCTTTTTGTATTTTTTGAATTAAAAAAATCACAAAATATTATACTTCTTGAATAAATATATCTAGATTAGATATATCTAAAAAATAAAAAAATTACTTTAAATATTTTTAAAAAATCAATAAAAATAAAAAATACAAAAAATAAAAAAAATATTTTTTGTGTGAGTTAAACCAAAGAAAATGATTGTTATTTCTCTTAAAATGACATAAATAAAATTTCAGAATTATTTTATTATTTTTATATGTATAAAAGTTAAGGAGCAAATATGTCATTTCAATTTGAGAGGAAAATAAGCCTGTAACCTCTTCTTTACATACACTATACAAAAAGATCCTATATTAAATAAAAAATCTACAAGAAAATCTTAGTCGTATTCTACCCTTTTATTAAAATAATTAAAAAAACATACAAAGAATAAGGGCGAGGTGAGGTAAACGGAGGGGGAGATAGGGACGGGAGGGGGGCGAGTAGGTCATTCTCATTCTTCTTATTTTCTCATACCTCTCATCGTAAAAAACATATATAAAAAATCATATCCTTAAATTTTTTTTTTTTGGTCATCAGTCATATATTCTATATTATCCTACTATATAATTCCATAATTAAAAGCTAGTATGTTTTTTTCTATATTACGGGGTGGCAGCCAAGTGTAATACATTTTTTAAAATTTTTTTTTGGGCGAAATTTAACCCATCAGGTCCATGTGGCAAACATGTGGACACCACTTTAATCCCATAACTTGTTTTTGAGTACACCCGATTACCCCAAAAGCTACTACTTTCCCCTCTCTCTCTGCTTTTGCCTTCCCATCTTTACGCTCGCTTTCTCCTAACATAAATCTCCAGTCCCTAAAACGTCACAACAAGCAAGGGCGCATGAAGAACAATGAACAGACCAGACGATGAAGAACCAAGAAAGAAGACGCCATCCTCAGAAAAAGCTGTCGCTTTGATTGAAATTAGATTGTGTATATTATCTTTGTCACTTTCTTCTCTCTTTCCTCATCCTCTAATTTACAGATTTCTTTCTTGGACTTAGTGTTTGATTCTATGGGTTGCTGTTGTTTGAATGAGAAGATAGATCTATATATCCATCTGAAACAGACTCTGTAAAATGACTACGAAGATTTTGTGAACAAGATATCACACCACGACTTCTGTAATGAAAGAAATTCTTCCCAATTCTGAACAAAGTAACTTTTTGGCTTTAGTTACAGGCGGTGAACACAGTGGTACGAAATTTCTGCAGTTTCAACATCTTTTTTATATTATTGGTGCTCGGACTCAATCATCGGTTTACCAAAACTCAGTAAAATTTTGCAGTTTTATAACATTTCAATTAGAAACTCCGTAAGAATTTTA